TCTGTGAGAACTGAAAGCCCTGCAAATGCCTCCTCATGGAGATCTCCTGCACAGCAGCTCCACCCAGCAAGTTGTACCACAGAACACACTCAGGTAAAAGCAGCCAATAGCTGCCAAATAAATTGCTATTCAGCAGAGTTTGGGAATCAGTCATATGTGTACAAAGAATGTTTTGGATAAGAAAAATATGTCCCATATGCTGAGAGCTCCATGTAATGAAACCAACAACATAAATGAAGTTAACACAGCCCACTGCTGTAGACAGCTTCAGGTGTTGTACAGGGCTGAACAGTACTTATAGCAAGTGGTTTCTAGTCCCTGCCATGATAAATCTGTGAACATGCACATGATTAGAAGATCTCTCAGCACAATCTCTTTAGAGAGGAAGCCAATTACAAACTCCCCAAGTGTCAGGAAGGCAGTGTACTGCCAATATAGTTTGCTTCAGTCTTGGCTGCTGATCTGATGAAAATGCAGATGATTTTTCTTGTCACAACATAAATAAGATCAGGGCAAAACATTATGTCACAGGTGAATTAGTGCTTCCATGTAACACACTCATGGCCCATCAGACACGGCCTGGAACAATTGAATTTATGTAATGTGCTGCAGCTCTCCATTTCTAAGTGAACCTCTGATTTAGCTAACAGATTTTCAGAAACAAATTATAGCCAGACAAGACCTTACTGATTGTACATGTGCAGATACTGAAAAACTAGTTGTTATCACTGTAGAATCCAAATGTTTCCTCTTGACTTGCCTCTCCTACCACTGTGACTAAATAGACTGTAATTATTCTTAGCCACAATAAAGTTACACTGCCAACCACTGAACGATAGTGCCATCATGTCTTTCTAGAGAGGGCCTTCAAAAACACACTAGGTGTATAAAAATATTAAGAAGCAATCTACAGCTGTTCAGCTCCCAGTGGAATCTTTAGCTCTGTCCATAACTATGGTGGCATGGCCCTAAAATGGAACATAACTTCTGAAATCCTGTTCTTGATGAGCATGACAGTGTCACAAATTCTGCCTGAAAAGTTGTTCCCTGTCCTGTTTAGTAGAACGAGAGGGACACAAATAAGCAAAATCGCTCATATACAAAATCCTTTCTTTAAATGACAATTATCGGTGACATGGAAAGTCCACCTATAGAGTATGTATTCCAGGGGGGTTTCCTCTGTTTCTGCTCCCCTCCACTCCCAGAGAATAAAGTTTTCCAGATTTATTATGGCAATTATACATTTAACTTCATTAGTGACCATCAGAACATTTCAGTTTTGTTCACTGGCAGCACGGCGGAGTCTTAGAGAAACTGGGAATGTTTGTACATCACTCGCGACCCCTCCCCCTGAAAGTTGGAGGCAAAGGCAAGGAAGGGGCCCTTCATGCGCATCCCTCGCCCCATGCCCGCAGCCTGCGCCGCGCTGGCGGCCGCACTTCCCGCAGCGATCCCGCCTGCCCTGCGCCGGCTCTGCCCTCCTGCCCAGTGCTGGCTCTGCCCTCTTGCCCAGTGCTGGCTCTGCCCTCCTGCCCAGTGCTGGCTCTGCCCTCCTGCCCGGTGCTGATTCTGCCCTCCTGCCCAGTGCTGGCTCTACCCTCCTGCCCGGTGCCGGCTCTGCCCTCCTGCCCAGTGCTGGCTCTGCCCTCCTGCCCAGTGCTGGCTCTGCCCTCCTGCCCGGTGCTGATTCTGCCCTCCTGCCCGGTGCTGGCTCTGCCCTCCTGCCCAGTGCTGGCTCTGCCCGCCTG